CCCTCAGACTGGCTTAAACCACATTGACAGAAAATGAATGTCAAAGTGAGAAAGAAAGACTATGTCTGCCTTTTCTCACCAAAGCAGCTAATAAGAACTATAAAGCAATCTAACGGCTTAATAATTAGATCCAGGACACATGCGGTCTTCATTATGACAGCAAACACTTTTTAATAATATGAGGGAAAACATTAAACTTAAAATAATTCTTGATAATTTAATTAAGGCCAAGCTTTCCTTTGAGAGCTGCCTTGCAGAGGAGGGGCAGATGAGAAGCCCAGATAATGCAGGAGCAGGTGCTAACATTGGCGAAGGCGGTGCCGTGTTCTCCACGGGAGCCAAGGCACGGGCTTCTGTTTGTAGTTCTTGTTTTGTTTTGAGGAGCGGAAATACAGCGTGGTACCCCAAAGTGTTAATTTCACTAAGCCCCAGCAGTGGCTGAGCAGGTCAGAACCCATAAACATTTCCCATTACCCACCACACGAGGACTTGTATTCTTTCCTTTCAGCTCCTTTGAGGTCATTGGACCGTCCATTAATTCTGAGGTTCCATGAAGCGAAATTAGTTAATTTGGCTTGAATTTAAACTGGAAAATGTGCCCCATGGTAGGGGCAGGGGAGGCCATGAAAAGGCAGTCGCTCCTGCTTCAGGAGCGCATTTGTGGTAAGCCACTGCCATGCCCTTCCCTTCTGCCAGCTCTCCGGTTCCCTTCTCTGCCACTGCCATTCTCCACCAGCAGGGGGCGATCTTTCTAAAATGGATACCAGAGTGCCCTCCAGCAATCCCAGCAGCTTGGCTTTGCTTTTCACCCAACAGGCTTGTGGGGGAGGGGGGGCGTAGGCCCAGCCATTAACACCCACGCCCCACCTCTCTGCTCTCTCTCTTGAGATACTTGAGTTCTGTTTTTGCTCTGTCTCTCTGATGGGCTGTCCCCCAACTTCTGGGCATTTGTATCCATTGTCCCCTCCTCTGCGGGCCCAGTGTGCGCCCCCAGTGCAGTCCTGTGGCATTCTGGGCTGTTTCCGCTGAAGATCCTCACTCAGCCTTTGTGTCTCTTCAGCCTAGCCCTCCAGACCAGCCTTGCTTCCCCGGACCGCTTGTAGGCCAGCATCGTCCAGACGACCCTGTGGGCTACTGTACGGAGCTCAGGGCATAGTCAAGGAAAGCGGTGCAGTTGACAAGGTGAGGGTGCCAAGAGGGATTCACTGCATCCCTGGCTCCTCCTGAGGCTGCAGAATCAGCAAAGATGCGGCCAAGCTCCCGTATTAACGCCCTACCTCCTCTTCCACCTTGGTACCAGGTTCACCACCCACTGGCCCTCCTACCAGGTTACTGCCATTGGCAAACCCAACAGGAAGCCAAGAAATTGTGGAAAGGAACCAAATAGGGGCTCCCCGGTGGAAGACTGGGACAGGGGGTGGGGGTGGGGGGCAATCAGATTCTTTAACCCGCCTACAGTCCACTGCGCAGTCAAGGAGAACAGGAATCTTGGAAGATTGGGGAAATCTAATTGTCATCCTAAGCACTTGGGAGGTGGAGGTAGGAGGATGAGCAGTTTAAGGTTAGCCTTTGTTACATAGCAAGTTTGAGGCAAACCTGAGCTCCTTGAGACCCCGATCACAAACAAAACCAGTATCCTGGGTTGAGTGCTTGCAGTAGACTGACCAAGGCCCCCAACTTTGGTCATGATATCCTGAATCTTTGTCACAACCCTACACAGAGGACACTGTGGTCACTCTGCACACCTGAGTGAGGACCCTGTCGGAGATGTTGGGTGCTCTGGGCGGGTATATGAAGGAGCTGACTTTGCAAACTGGGGTCTGAGAGGCCTCTTGCAGATTAGAGCTGGGAGGAGATACTTTGGGCTGGGAGAAGAGTCTGCTCCACAGAGCCAGATAGTCATGAATCATGAGCTCTAAAGCTGTGGATTCCTGGGAGAGGCCCTCATCAGGGCCCCCTGATTGCAGTCTTTGCCCGCCAAAGAAAAGAGGCCCTTCCTGCCCCTCTATGGCCAGTTGCTCACTGTCTCCTCTCTCTCTAGGCCTCACAGAAGCTGGCAGCCAATCCGGACACATCTGCCTAATCACACATCATGTCCAAGGACTTTCGGGAAGTCTGAGGACAAAGGCTACCTCCTCCCCAAACCCCAGCCTGCCCCAGACCCCCACCCACAGATGAGCAGGCAGAGACCCCTGAGGCATCTGACCTCTCAAGGTCACCAAGTTCATTGCTACAGAGCCCTGCCAAGAGCAGGGGTCATCGTGGCCAGGCACACCCTGCCAAGTCACAAAGACTGTACTGTGTATATTTTCCAGACAGAGTAGAAGAAATTCAGGTTTTTCCACCCTGACAAAGTGCTGTGGATTATTTGCAAGAAGTCTGGGAAATTCCACAAGTCTGTTTTCAAAGGACACCCACTTGGCTACCCAGCATCTTGAAAATAATCCCTCATTCAGGTGCGGAAGGGGACATATCCTGGTGACATGTCCAACCACCCATACACTGTCCCCAAGTTACCAGGGTACACCAAGGATGGAGCTTTCTCTCCCAAGTCACCTGCCCCCAAAAGCGTCACACCTGGCTTGGGTTGGCGGTCACCAAGCTCCTGCATCTGTTCTGCATTACTTTAACCCGCTTCAGCAGCCCCTCCCTCCTCCTATAGTGTGTCTTGGCCCCTAAAAGTGGCCTCCAAGATCAAATCGAAATTCCAGTTCAGGGATGTAAATCGTCCATGTGATGGTGAGACCCACGGCTGGTTATTTTTCCTGGAACTGGAGCAAGGCTTATTGACATGTTGGAAGGTTCTAGTTGCGGAGTTGGACTGAGTTCCTGGACTCCTCTGCTGGTCGCTTCTGTGTTGACACATAGAAAGCAGGACCTTGATGGAAAGCTGGTGCCCGGATTAAGTGAGCTCGTCTGTGCCTAGAAACTTCTCAGAAAGATACAGGACAGAATTAAAAAAAAAAAAAATCAGAAAACCCAAAACGGAAGTTCTTTCCTCAAATAATTTAGGCTAAAATGAGAAACAACATACAAAATGTTCAAGCTTGGCTGGATCATTTCAAAAATGCAAGGAAAGCATCCATCCAAGATGTTCATGCGCTCACCCCGTTCCTAGAACTTGTTTTGTTCTTGTATGAAATAATTTTTATGCAAGATATAGAATACCCAGAAACGAGCTCAAAGGTTAATAAAACAAATCTCCAGGTGTCCTCAGGTAAAACCGAGTCCTTGGTTTCTACCCAGAAAAACAAACAAACAAACAAACAAAAACAGAGAAAGCCAGTATTGAGACAAGATTTTTTTTTTCCCCCCAAGACAGGGTTTCTTTGTGTAACAGCTCTGGCTGTCCTGGAACTCACTTTGTAGACCAGGCTGACCTCGAACTCAGAGATATGTCTGCCTCTTCTTCCCAGGTACTAAGATTAAAGGCATGCGCCACCACACCCAGTTCAAGAAGATTTATTTATATTAATTTAAAATTGTATGACTCTCTCTGTGTGTATGTGTGTGTGCGCGTGTGTGTGGTATGTGCTTGTGGGTAGAGGTGCCCAAGGAGTCGAGCAGAGAGGCCATGGAATCTCTTGAAGCTGGAGTCATAGGTAGTTGTGAGCCACACTGTGTGGGTGTTGAGAACCAGACTCAGCTGGAACCTGATACTGTTTATAGTTCTCCAGAATACCCCAAGGATCATCATTATTATCTCTTGGCTAAAGATATTGAATTTCTGAATGAAGAACTCTGTATGTGTGTACATGATCTATTCCCCGTCTCTGGACCCTTGTTCAGAGAGAGCCTTCACATAGTCTTCTTTCCCTAGGTTTGTAGTACCAGAGGTGACATGAACAGAAATGAGCTCCATGCTGCTGTCCACAGTAACCTGGGGGAGGTCCCTTAATTTTGACTCAAGTAAAACTCTGGGTCCTTAGTTTCTACCCAGAAAAAATTTCAGAGAGCCAGTATGAAGCAAAGTTAATTCTCTTTCTTTTGTTTTTCAAGATTTATTTATTTTTATTATTTTAAAATCATGTGCACGTGTGTGTGTGTGTGTGTGTGTGTGTGTGTGTGTGTGTGTGTGTGTACTACATACACACACAAGAGTACAGGTGCCCAAAGAGTCCAGATGAAGGTCTTGGATCGCCTGGAGTTAGAGTCACAGATAAGATTATAAGCCACTCAATGTGGGTACTGAGAATCGAACTCAGGTCCTCTCCAGGAGCAGCCTATGTCCCTAATTGCTGAACTCTCTAATCAGAGTTAGGGTTTTTGATACAGATTTTAAGCTATGAGGGTTCAGAGAAAGGTTCAATGTTAGGAAGACCTAGCCAGGAGCAGGATATGGGCCCCTCCGAGAGTCCCCTTAACATCTTTACAGCACTCTGTGCAGGGTTTTGGTGAGCTGAAAGCTGTTATCTTCGAAGGTGACAAAAGCTCTTCCTGAGATCATAGGGTGTCCCTGAGGGTGGTGGCCAGCAAGGACTGCAACGGATAAGGTCAGAGTTTAGGTCAGAGGGCACGGGGAAGCAGGCCATCTGCGCTGTAAATAAAGCTAACAGTCTCGTTCAAGATTCCCAGAATACGTCCGGGGGAAGGAAGGAGGCACAAGGTCATATACATTCAGGCCTTGAGCCTGGGCCATGGCTGTTTTAACATAAAATATCTCCGCAGGAAAGGAAGGCTATCTGTTGTCAGCCTTCAAGCAAATGATAACATGGCTGGAATTCTTGCTTCACAGCTGGCCAGAGGCTTCCCACAGACTCCAAGGTGAAGGGATTCCTCTCCCCTGTCGCACCCCCACAGTGTCTCCATCTTTCTATTCTGCCTCCCACAGTATAGAGGCGAATGTTCTCTTCCTCAGGTGGCCCTGCTAGTCAACATGTTGGGTCCCGTGAACCGCACAGTCCCTGCTGTAGCTTCTTAGTGCTTCTGCCATAGTTCATGTGAGCAAATAAATGGGCATGGATTGGGAACAGTAAAACTTTATTCACACTAAACAGGCTATGGGGGGGGAGGGCGGTAGTTTGCCAACTCCTGCCGTAGAGCTTGTGGTTTTGTGTGCATTTCAGTTTATTTCTCTCACTTGAGCAGCCAATAAGAGCGCTTGTGCCTCGTTATACTTGGAAAGGTGTTTCTTGGCTAGCCTTCGCATCACCATTAGCATTTTTAAAGACCTTGGATGTAACCAGACAGGTTAGATGGACTAGACTTGACCCAAACATACCGGGCCTGAACCCAAAACTCCGGGATGGTCTGTGTAGAGTCAAACATGGGAGATGAAAGCAGAGTGTCTGTGAGTCAAACAAGTTTTGACAGTTAAACCTTCCCCTAAGCATCCAGAACATTCTCCCAGCCTGCTTTTGTCTTTGTTTTGGAATCTTGGGCAAGTACTCTGCCTAAGGTTTGTTTGTTTGTTTGTTTTTGATAATTTCCCATTGTTTCTGGCCAAGAATCAGGGGTTACACATTAATTTATCTAACAACAGTGTCCTGGCAGGTGGGCACACCTACATGATGGGTGAACATGGCATGGACGAGCCAAAAAACTATGCACGTTCCTCAGTCACATAGTAGCGACTGCCCCACATGAGGACATAGTCATTGTTGCTGAGTTCTCTGGTTTCTCAAGGAACGGTGCGTGTGTGTGTGTGTGTGTGTGTGTGTGTGTGTGTGTGTGTGTGTGTGTGTTTTCTGAGACAGGGTGTTTCTAGGCTCTGTGTCTTTGTGCTTTTGCCTTCTAAGTACTAGAATTACAGGCATGGGCACAGTGCCCAGTTCCCCCAGTTTCTCAGTGTAAATGACTCAGTGGAAGGAGACAAAAAGAGAGGGTTGGAGAGACTTCTTTGACATCCCACGAAGCAGATACTGTCCCAGTTTTCAACCTCCAGAGAAGAACAGCGAGAGGTCGTGATGCAGGCAGTGGAGAGAGGTCTCTTAGGATCCCATCATGGTCTATTGGGCAAGTCAACCAACCTTTGTGATGGTCTCCGGTGTTTTGCTCCTGCCAGCTGGGCAAGGGTCCTTGTGGTGCTGACCTGTTTACCAAGGCAGAGGGAAAACTTAAGATCATTGCCCAAGAAACCTCCAGAAAGTAGTCCTTGGCTCAACCATGGCCCCATCTGCTTTATCTGAGGGTGTGCGCGCCATTCCATATGTTACCAGAGTCCCCATCCCTCTGCTAAGCCCATTGGCCTCCTCCCTGGGGCACACAGAGTACACGGCTGGCTAGGGAGTCTTAGCTTTCTTACTTGGTGTTAAGTTCGCTAAATCCTGCTCCTTTCCCCAATCTCCAATAAATTATTTTTCCTCTTCTCCCACTCCCCTTCTCCATGGGGAGAAGATTTTCTTGCAATAATTTCCCATCGTTTCTCTTTTATTTTTAATTTCATTAGGGGGCCCAGCCAGCTGTGCAGCCCAGCCATTTTCCCAGCCTTTTGTGAGCATCATTTTACATAGTTCTACTTGGGTCCAAGAAAACTAAACAAAGCTTAATCCTCCTGGAGAGCGCCAGGCCTCCCGACAGATGCAGGGCGTTTTCCTCCGCAATCTTCCGCAGCAGTGGGGGCTGCCTGTACGAGAAGCCAGGAGCACCTCCCTTCCTCAGTGCTGGTCTCAGCACTTTCTTCCAAGGATCCTGGATACATGGTCCAAATAGGAGGGTTGACCCTCAGACAGACTCCGGTGGACTTACCACAAAAAAGAACTGTACCGTAGTGGTGGAAAAACAGACTCTGGAATCCATGCAGTGGCCATGGGAGACTGAGCTCTCCTTCCCATCATGGCCTCTCTCCTGCCAGACCTGGGTCACCTTCTCTTCCCCATCTTCTATGCTGCTCTTCTTACGGTTTGCACAGACCGGACAGAACAACAGCAACAAGCGCCAAGGCAATGAGCTTTCTGGAATCGGCCTCCATGTGTTGAAGGCTGTCCCACTAGAGCAAGGGTATCTCATTCAGTGCCCACGCATGTGGACCCCACCCCAGTGAGACGCTGGCCTCCGCGATACAGCAGGGAACCCTAGCCTTCTCCAGAGCCCACCTCCTTCCTCCTCTCTTTAAATGATCTTTATTGGAGGCTCCAGGAAACAGGGTCCTGTCTGCTCCTTCATCTTTTCTACATCTCTGCCATCTCTCCACACTCACTGGTCTCACAGTTCTCCACAATCCTGGAAACACCTGGACCCCGATGGGAGCTTAACAGTCTGACTCAAGCCACTTTCAGGAACCCCAGGGGTTCCCAGGGCGTTAAGGTACAGTAAGTACCCTCTGAAAACCAAAGCCAGAGAGAGGAAGTGGGTGAGCCCTGGGAACAACGCGAAGAAGGCGGAGTGGAAACAGTCCCACCACAGGTCTTAAACACGGCCCTGCTGCTCCTTGGCCTTGGAATCCAGCGGCACAGCACTCGGTGGGGAAAGGGAAGGCGGTTTTCAGAACTTTCAGTCAAAGGTGCATCATCTCAAACTTGTATAGCTTTTATCTTTTCAATTACGTGTGTCTCTAGGGCTATATGGCCAATCTCTGAAATAAAAACCACAGCAATAAAGTACTCCTAAGAATGGACAGCTCGATTAATTTGAAGCGGTTCTACACACTTTCTGTAGCAGGATGAAGGAGTCAACGGGGGCGGGGGGCAAGCGAAGTTCTGGAGAGCTGGACCAAAACAGTGATGGTGTCCCAGATAGGGGACAAGGACACTCCACCATGTCCACGCTGCAGCTGGAGTGATAGGTAAGGTCCCCACCTTTGTATCCCAAACAAGTTAGGCTCAGCCCTGGTCGCAATATGTCAGAGTAAGAATTGAAAGTAGAAAGAAAAATGTGTTGAGAAGATGAATGAACAGATGGGTCCACTGAGCCCCCAATCACCCCAAGCTGCCTTCAGGGCACTGACATGAACTTAGTTTAAATAGAGGGAGGACTGGAGCAGGGGACTGGAGATGGACACCATTCATCAGTCGTGGTCAAGGTGTGGTCCAGTCCATCATCGGCTCTGCTCTGGTCCTACAAGGTGGTTGATAAACCAATTAGCTGTTAATATGCTAGTTCCGTTGTCTTCTTGGGCCTGCAGGATGATCTTCTGAGGGATGAAGTGTCTCCATCATATGCAAATGTTCTCATCTTGGGGTTAGCTCTAGGTGACTTTAGGTTAGTGCGGTAGTTATTGCCCAGCGTGCATTTTGGGTTCAAAGGATTATGAAACAAGACAGATCCATACTCCTTGAAGGACTTCCCATGCCTGTGCAGGGACAGAATCTGATTCAAAGGCAAGAAGACAGAGAGCTAAGTGAAGCCGAGGTGCTGGGCTCTCATCTATGTTTATTGACCTTGGGGCCCAAGTGAAGAGTCAGTGCTTGGTAGGAAGAGTCCCAGTCCCCAGGAATACCTCCAGACTCACGGTCAAAGGACTGTCCAGCCTGGGACTTCAGTTACACACCAGAGACATTTCCTAGGAATGTGAGTCCTGCTAGGTGAAGGCATGTAGCTGTGACTCTCCGGGGAAGTGGAGGCCACTGAGTCACGCACGACTCCACAAAGTTGATACTGACTTTGGCCCTTCCAGAACCGGGTGTGGGGTCTAGAGGCAGGAGAGGAAAAGATGTATGGACCATGCAACAAGCTGGCAAACACACTGTTCCTTTGGTGGCCTTACACAGCACTCCTTGGCTTTATCTCACATCCTGACGTCTTTGATGTGCTGGTTAATTTAATTGATCACTAATTGTCATAGCAAACATCTAGGGCACTAGTGACACACATGTGTGTGTCTGGCTTTTCCAGAGAAGGGCAGACACCTGTCCTGGATGTTGGCAGCAGTACCTGCTGGACTAGGGTAGGAGACCTTTCCTGACCCACTGAGATGTGTGTAAGCAGTATCATGTCCCCTGTCACAGAGCCGCCTGGTGCCATGACTATCCATCCCTTCACCTGTTGAGCTAAAAGTCAAACTTGCTTCTCTTCATTTGAATCTCAGCACATATTTAAACTGCAACAAGCAGGGGGAAAAATACCCGATTTCATACACTCGCCAACAGATGTCCTTGAAAGTTCAGATACAGCAAGCTGCAGAAAGACGTGTTGGCAGTGGCGGGGGCTGGGGGGTGCGGGCTCAAGATATCTTTCTGAGTGAAAGAAGCAAGTCTGAAAAAGGGACAGACTACAGGATTCTGTCTGCAAACCATGCTAAAAAATTTAAAGCTGGAGAGAGGGGCAAAAGATCAGCAGTTACCTCCTGGGGAGGGGCAGGCGGAGCACTGAGGAGCTCCCCACAGACTTTCTTCTGTGTGGTGCACGGCCTTACACCAACGCCAAAACCTATGTGGAACACCAAGATTTGGCCCTAATGTTAACAATGGACTTTAGCCACAGTGATACCTTGATGTCAGCCATCATCTGCAATAAAAACCTCACAAATGCAAAATGTCAGCCCGGGGAAAATGGGGAAGGCCTATGTGGGAAGTCCTTGTACCCACCACACCACTCTTCTCTAAATGTAAAGCTGTTCTTAGGAAAACTCAGGTCTTGCCAGCTCTGGTAGCACTGGTCTGTGACCCAGGGAGCCGGAAGACTGAGTCAGGGGCATTGCACACAGAGTAAATTCACGGTCAGCTTGGGCAATTAGTGAGTAAATCAAATAAAGGACAAAATGTCAGGGGTTGTTGTTCAGTGGTCCATCTCTGGCCGAGCATGCACGAATCCCTAGGTTCAAATCTCAGGACGCAAGCTACAAGAGCGACAGAGATCCAATCAGCTCTTGGAGAAGAGACCCAGAGGCAGGCAGCTCACTTCGGTGCCTTCTGCTCTCCCCGGGAAGCTCTTTTGGCTTAGCACAGTCAGTTATGGCACCATGTGAACCCTTACTCACTACCCAGAATAAAAGCCTTCTGCAGACCCAACGCTATCCTGGACCCGTGCTCACCCTCCTTGGTCACCTTTCCAACTTAGTTTACTCTTTCCAGGTCCCGGTCTTCCTGTCTGAGAGTACTGCCCCACTTCACTGCCTTATTTGGTCCAGTGTGATGGACCTAGGTCACAGCTCAGTAAGGCCAACCATGTGACTCTTTCCCAGACATTCAGGACTCTTGAAAATATGGCTCAATGTCATTGCTTATTGCCCATCTCTGTTTACCTTTTGCCCTTTCCTGAAATGGATAATCAGGCTCACGTTCCCAGTGGTCCTCAGAGAAGCCCTGTCTTCCTGGTCCCACACCCCAGCACTCAGCATGACATAGCCTCAGTCTGAGGAGGTGGGGACAGGAGCAACCTTGGGACTTAATACCTGAGCTCCAAGTTCAGAAAGAGACTACCTCAAAATATAAGGTGAACAGTGAAGGGAGACACCCAATGGTGATCTCTGACCTTCAAAGGCCCGTGTACATGCACATACAAGTGTGCATGCACACACACACACACACACACACACACACACACACACACTTCCATACACATACATCTACACTCACCCTTCCTTTCAGGGGATCCATTGTTGGGATTCTTTTCGTAACTGTATCTATGTTTATATGTAGCCTTTAGTAAAAATGGATTTGAAAATCATTAGCGCTAAGAATGAGTAATTAACTACAATGAACCATGGTTTGGAAAAGTTGGAACAGACTCAGGGACTGAGACCAAGGCCAAACCTTGAAGTTGTGACCTCCATGACAAGGACTTGGCAGGTGTGACACAGTCGCAGATTTCTTACGAGCGTGGCAGCATGAGCCGGGCGCTGATTTACACAGGCTGCACTGGCTTTGAAGATGAAGAACCGCCCCAGCAAACAACATGGAAAGACTGAAAAAGGTAAAAACAAAGATTTTCCCTCTGCGGCCTCCAGGGGGCGCTCTCACTTGTAGCTGCTTGACTGCTAGGAGCTGTGACCTCCCCAATGCGGAAGGTGCTGGTGTATTGTTCAAACCATTCTGTTTCTAGTTCCCCAAACAGTGGCCTGAAGAGACCAACACGGTGTGTCTATTCGTGAGAATTCATTGGTAAACTCTCCCAATCTGTGGGTCTGGTTACTTAGTCAGTGCCCAACACCGGGGGGTTGTTCGAGGTGTTCAGCGAGGCTGTTTTTGAACCCAGAGGGCTGTGCTTAGCACATCGGGCACCCAATAGCAGAAACCAAGCCTGCTGTGACCATCAGAAGTATCTTTAGATCTTACTCCATGTTTCCCGGGGCTGTGTGCGTGCGTTGGGACCTACTGCCTCATGAATGTTCTACTTCAGAACAAAACATCAATAACGCTGAGAAATAAAAACCCTTCCTTCTGGGTTACCTAACTGCATAGCACAGTCCTAGAGAAGCACCCAGAAACCACTGTCTCCCTATAGGGGGCGACAGTGGGTGCCCTTCCTTGGGGAAGAACATGTTTTCAGAGTAGGCTCCCGGTGGTGGGGGGGGGGCAGGCTGTGGTACCCCAAGGATGAAGGGCATGAAGCGTGGAGGGTGAAGTTCCCCCCAGCCGGGGTCCCTGCCCTTCCTCCCACGTTAAATGGAAACATATGCTGGAGGCAGGACCGGTAGAGGGGCTGCTGAAACCGGAGCCCTTGGAGTGAGGCTCACCGAGGCAGGTCTGGGGGGTGAGAGGCTCTTGGGAGCCTTTGAAAGTTCCCAGGCCGTGGCTGCAGCGAGAGTTCCGGGTGGTTGATTAGTTGGAAGGAACACAGAGGTGAGGAGGGACAGCTTTGGTAAACAACGCCAGCTTTGGTCTCCCCTGGCCCCCTGCGGTCCTTTATGCCCCAAATCCTGGGCTAATTTTCAGGGAACCTACCTCCCCCTAATTACCTAATTGTTACTAAGTGACATTTGGAGAGCCAGGCCAGGAGTGACCGAGTTAATTCTGCTTGCTTTGCAGACAGGGGCTGCAGGGCCCCCCACCCTCCCCACCTCCCCAGAGGAGGCCTCAGGGACGTAGGAGGGAAAAGTAGGGCTGGCTCAGCTCAGGCGCCAGCTCCTGGTCCCCGTACAGCTTTCCCACTTGATGGGGGGTCAGCCGGGTCTCTCGGGGATTCAGGGGGAGCAAATGCCAAGCGCTGGAAACCAGGAGATGAGAACACAGCAGGCTGTGAGCGATTGCCTTGGAAACCGGACTGGAAGTTTCTGGAACATTCGAATCCTTCCAGTGCGGCATCTGTAGATGGCAGTAGAGCGCTTTCTCAAACTGCCTGCCGCAGACACTTTAATGGAAAAGACTGGATTTTTTATTTTACTGCGCCACAAGCTGCCTTTATTTTTTTATTTTTTTTTTCAGGGTTCTGGGGTTGTTTTTCACAGAGATGAAAAGAGAAGGCAAATTGGGCCTCTTACCTAACCTGTGTGGGCCTCAGAGTTCTCCTTCTGCTTAGACGTGAGTAGGGACTGTCTTTTTGCCCCCTCTGAAACAGAAAAAAAGCCCCCCAGGAAAACAGAAAGTCCATAATCTTTCTCTGTCCCTCCAGCCCTGAGCCTCAGTTTTGAAAGCAAGCACTCCAGCCTGGTGAGATGGGTTTCGTGGTTGGAGAGGTCCAGGTTGGGGTTTGGGATCAGGCCACAGCAGCTGGCAGCTGGTGGTCTTTGCCGCTGAGGCCATTTCTCTCTGCTTCCAGGCTGATAGAAAACCATTACGGCAGCCCAGCTGTTGGGAAGGCTTCCTGTAGAGCATGTAACAGGCAGTTCTTATGTCAGTGAGGCTAGGGGCAAGTAAAACAGACTCTCTCACGATGGAAGCCCACCATGACCTCGGCAGGCTGGCACATGAATCTGCATTTGAGCAACAGGCTGGTGCAGAGCCCCAGAGTCGCTCCCCCCGCAACCCCCGAGTTCTGGGGTACCTTCTGTGCATCCTGAAGGTGACCCCTGGTGTGACACCTACAGCATCTGGAGCTGACTGCCAGATGAAACAGAGAAAGGAGCAGAGGGAAGACTGGCTCCATCAGAATGTTTAGGTTGGTCTTTCTGGGTTGTTAAATGTTAAAAATATGCGAAAATCCAGATGTTGCGCTTTTATGCCCCAAGAAAGTGAGGTTTGTTAGGCCAAAAAAAACTTTCCTGAGTTTGCCACAAACTCCCTGGATATCAACACCAAAGGGAGCTCTTGTTCCCTGACCCTGGATTTTAAAGGTTTATTCAAACTACTTGCTTCGGAGACCCAAGAAAAGGCTCACGAAACCTTTCTCTAAGGGTCCGAGTCGGCCATTCCAGGGCCACCTCTGGCCCAGGAGAGAGGCAGTGGTTGCTAAGATGAGCGCACCAGACAGGACTCAGCAGTCATCTGGGTCAGAGTCTGACCTGGACTGTTTCTTTTCAGATGCGTCCCCAAACATGTCAATTTACCTCTCTTACGTCTGTGAAATGGGTTGATGACACGTGTTCCTGCCCCAAAGACCTTTTACCTATGTCTGCTAAGGGTGACAATCAAGAATATTTCTGGCTTTCACAGATAGCCAGCCCTTCCTGTGAGTGGCATCTTGAGCATTGTGAGGGCTCAGAGAGCTGGGCTGTGCGGTGCTGGGAAGATGGCGCGGTTGGTTAAGCACATACCGGGCAACACGAGGACTTGAGTTGGATTCCTAGCACCCACAGAATAGCCAGAAACAGTGACATGTTCTTGTAGTCCCAGTGCTGGGGCAGCAGAGGCAGGAGGATCTCTGGGGCTCACTGGTGAGTTTTCAGAACAGGGAAAAGCCCTGTTTCCAAAGACAAGGAGGACAGACAGGCATGGCAGCACGTGCCTTGAATTCCAACACTAGAGAAATGGAAGCGGGCAGGTTGTTGTGAGTTTGAGGTCAGCCTGGTCTGTGTGGCAAGTTCCAGACCAGCCAGGGCTTCATAGTCAGGCAGTCTGTCTGTCTTTCTGTCTGTCTGGTGTCCATCCACAACCCCCCCACGTTTCCCCAAAACAAACAAACAAAACTAACTGAAACAAAATGAAAAGGCATAGTGGTTGAGGAAGACGTCGGGCTTTACAAGCATGCCTAATCAAACCTCATTCAGACACATAAAAGGGGAGGGAAAAAAAGACAGATGAACAGGAAAAAAAGATGCCCTCAGGGTTGGGAGTCTGAAGGCGGACTGGGCCTCAACTCCATTCTGTGAGGCCCCTGACTCACACTTTCCTGGCTCTGCAGTAGCAACCAGTCCAGCTGCTCGGGGGGCCCATGTCTGCTCAGTGCCCAACATACCTGAAGGTGGCAGATCATGGAAGAAGGCTGGTCTCTGGACCCAGGTCCTCCATAGACTTGAGGTTTCACATGGCCTAACAGTGCAGTGAGTGTGGGCTGTGTGGCTTCCCTGTGCTCCCGTGTGCTCCCCCCTCCCACTATATCCTCTGGGAAGACCTCTTTAGGTGGCTTGATGTTGGAATCCATAGCAGAAATGCTAGAATCTTCTTAGGACCCAGGTCCCACCCCAGGGCACATGGTGGTCGCTTCCATAGACTCTTGTTCTAGGCACCGGGCAATTTCCTTTGGGGACAACAATTAGCCAGGAACAGAGTCCTCACCAAACTGAAACTATAAAGTTTTTCCACAAGTCATTACACAGGTGAAGCTGGGGTTGGTGATCCTGGGAGGACCATGGCCAGATGTAGAAGTAGCAGTTGGAGACAGGCATACCAAGTCCAGGAAAGGGGATGAGGGATGGGCATCAGGGAGGATGGAGAAGAGAAGACTATCCAGACCTTCTTCTGCTTAGGAGCCATGTCTCATGCTTGAAAAAACACCACTGTGGGTCAACACATCCGCTGGCCCATTTCTGGGGGGTAGCCCTATTCACCTCCATTTCGCGACACTGTTGTTTGAGGTGAAGGCCCAGATGGATGCATTTCCTGGGAAACAGAGAGGATTTGGCCATGCTGAATCAGTTTGCAGCAGCGGGAGGTGGGAGTGGGGAGGGTTAAGCCACAGCAGCTGGTGAAGCTTCCGTGCTGGGGCCAGGGGGGCCCAGAGAGGGCCCTCAATCCAGGCAACCGTGGATGTGAGCCTGATTTCTCCAACGAGGGGCAGTCAGCCATGGCAGGCAGACACTCAGAGGCGTCAATGCTCCGTCAACATTTGGAAGAGGATAAATGAACCGGGTGATGAAGGCAGGGACAGCGGTGGGGCCCCGGTGAGCGGGCCTGCATGCTTATCTCCGCTAGCCCGCTTGCAATCACCAAGGCCCCCATAGTGGGGGCTGTGAATAAACACTCGTCAGCTTCTTTAGGGGCAACTTTATTTGCTGAACTAACACGAATCCTCCTGCCATTTTTTTTTTCCTGGATCGCTCTTGATGGAGATTCAGGGCCTCTTAAACCCTCACCGTCTACATTTACTTTAAAGGCCAATCTCCCTCTTGTCCTGGCTCCCACCCCTGTCTCATTAATAGAACTCGAAGATAGATATCAGGGGTTTTAGACTTGATTTGTATGACTATCTCAGAGGCCAATTTTAGGGTCTACAAGGGTCCTCTTTCTGTTTCCTAAGCATACCATTCGGTATTCACCTTTTCTGACTGCATTGTAGAACCCATCATCAACCAGGGATTTTGTTCTCTTCCAAACATTTGTTTTTGCTGGTTTATTTATTTTTGTGGGGGTCAGAGGCCCTGCCACAGCACACATGTGGAAATGAGAGGACAACTTGGTACGGTGGTTCTCTGCCTCCACTTTTATGTAGCTTTCAGGGAACAAATTCCAGCTACCAGGCTTGCATCCTTGGGTGGCAAGTGTCTTTACCCACTGAACCATCTGGCCCGCAAGCTTGCTTTCCTAATCCACTGGGTCTCACAGCTGGCAGAGGTAACATGGGGTTCTTGTTCTCTCCCAGTTTGCCAGTTCCCATGGTTGTAGGTGATCTAGAAGGTTTTGTTAGCTACTTTGTAAGTTTTCCGTGCTAACGAGAATTTAGACACTGCACTCAGAGGCCCCCCCACCGGGGGCAATCTCTCCTTCCTGGTAAGTGTCCTTGTCCCCAGTGAACTCTGCCTGGTGGAGGTCAGGAGACGAGGAGGATGGTCAGTCAGTAAAGGTTCAGCAGTGGTAGTGTATGCTTGCCATCCCAGAGATAGGGAGGCAGAGACAGGCGGATTGGGAGTTTGTTGGCTAGCCAGTGTAGCCTAACCTACACATCCTAGGTTTCAGATGAGATCCCAAAGTGGATGGCATCTGCACATACACACACACACACACACACACGCACACACACACATGCATCCCCCCACACACGAGGTATGTGTGACTATCTGTACATCCCCACAAACTTGCACACACACCTGCATACACTAACACACCTTCCACAAGACCTGCTTGGTTGGGTTGTTGTATGAACTTCCTAGCTCACTTTTAAAGATGACTTAAAGCAGCATGGTGCACAAAACACTAGTCTAAGCTGCAGACCTGTGCCCAGGACTTGTGTTCAAAAACTGACAAGAGATGGCAGGTCACTGGCTGGAACCACGGGTGGATCCCAGTTTTTTTTTTTTTTTCCTTTTTACCTCTTCCGAATAGGGTCCACTTCTATCGTCATCATCTGTCTTACTGTGTGCCCTCCTCTTTGATGAAGCAATGGCCCTAGAACTCAAAGATATGAAGCGCCAAAGGACCTGCCTCTGGAAGTGAGGGTCGTCTTCCAGCCTGGAGTTGGGAAGCAACACGTGAAGACCAGAGTCCTGTACGCCTGACTTCGCTGCACAGAGTCAGCCACTAATTGGTTGACAGTGAGAAATCACGACCTTTTGCTTTTGCTCTTATTGACAGCAAGCTGATGGATCTGACTAAACAGAAGGTAAGGTTGGGAGAGATCCACACTGCCTGAGGAAGTGAGGTTGGAGGCATCCTTCCTACCCCACTGTGCCTTCAGCTGCCTTCTGTCATCACAGACCCTTCATTCATCAGCTTGGAGCACCACCATACCCTCGAATCAAAACAGCTTTCATTCTTATCCCCCCGCCCCCGAGAGCCACCCACACCTGATCCCAGCTTCCTAGGTGGCATCCTGAGTCTATGTGTTTATAATTAACAAGTCCTACATAATTATAACCAACGGAACTTCCAATCTTGTTCTGGGAGGCAATTATTAGACCCCCCCCAC